GCAGTAGAAAAATCTGATCGCGTGGAAATATTTTTATTGTAGTTACCTACCTTTTGGTCGAAACATTACGGCGCGCAGTGTATTTTATCATTTGAAACGTATCTACCGAAAAAGCTTGGAAAAAAAAAATAAAAATTTGGCTTGTTTTCCTGTTTTTCTCGATTTTTTTATATACACAAATAGGTACTTGATTTTTTGGCTTAATATCCCGTAAACGTGACACTCATGTTACTTTTTTAAAAACGTATAATGCTTTTTGTTAATCATTTACCGTGAGCCACTAATTGTTTTGTGGTTGAAAAATGTGGAATTACGAAACTCTTTGTCAGCGATAAATCGTCTAAATTTCATTTAAAATTTAAAAGTCTATATTGAGAACCAACGTAGCTTTTTCGCCATGATAATCCACATTTCTTCAACCCTTATCCTCCTTTAATCCGATTTTCTTTCCATTTATTTTACTCGCCAAACCTAGATTTTTTTCCAACACCTCCATATCTACAGACATTTCCAGATATTTTATGCTTTTAGACATTAATTATGCAATTATATATTAAACTAATGTTTATTGTTTAAAATAAATGTCCATGTGATATACACGTTATAAATTATAAATTATAAATATAATTATAAACTTTTTGGTTTATACTTTAAGAAAAAAAAAAGTCGTTCGTCTAAAGAGCCCATTTACCTATCGAGATTTCCCTCTCTCCCAAAGAGGCCTTTCTTAAATCTCGTAAGAGATCTCTGAGGTCTCAAAAGAAGGAAAAAAGGTCTGTAATCCTTATACACTAGACCACCGTTCCTCGTGATAAGCCTTCGCCGTCACACAGTTGCCAAACTGTATTTATTCGGAAACTATTCGAGCCGAAATCTTGTTCAAACGATTGGAACACTCGACGGCCAAATTTCCCTAGCGAAATCCACGCTATTTATTTTCGTCTAAATTAAAATCGACATTAAAACGTAAACGACAGTTAACAAAATGACGTGACCAGTGCCATAGTTTTATTTTTTTTAAATTAAAATTTATTGTCAGTGGTTAATTAAAACGTGTATACCTTCTGAAAAGAGTTTCATTCTAAACCATTTTTTTTTTTATCTAACTAAAGCTGTAAGGGAATTGTTTTTGTTATTGTTTATGTAAATATTTTAATTATTTATTAATTTCATACACCTAGAAGTTATTGTAACTTATTTCTGTTTCGGGTAATGGACAGAGAAAAAAACTTTTTTGAGCCTTACGATATAAAAAAAAATATTAACGTAGAGGATATATGTATCAAAACCTTCTCCCTACATCAGGTACGCCATTACCGGATATTATATTGATATCGTATATTTGCGGTCAATAATATAATGAGTGGAGTTGTAAACACGAACGGATATTGTTGGTTAATAATAATAATTTATATTATACTGACCGTGTAAAAAAAAAAAAGTAATAATAATAAAAAAAAATATGAACTTGAGTAGTAGGGAAAAAATACATTATTACTATTACAGTATTTATTATATATTATATTTTTGTTTAAAATAAAGACATATTATGTACATTGAAAGAAAAACCCGGATTTTCTATAGTATTAATTAAAATAATTCACAGGCAACTTCAATTGTGGATTCCGTTAAAGAATTGTCTTAAAGTTGTGAATAGGACTTCAATTTTTTTTTACTATTTTTGTCCATTTCATGAAATTGATTGATATTTTTTGATAATATTGTTACTGGCCCCCGGTTTATGCGAGTAATATACGATGGTTGGACGTACGGTTTCTTGCAAATAGTACAAATAGTACTAGTTTACTACTAGGTACCATATTACTCTCTAATACAAATTATTAAGCCATACTCAATTAAAACCTAAAAAAACTTAGTAAATATTTCCAATAATAGCGCCTTAAGTCAATCATACAAAAAATGGAATTTACAACTTTCCATTTAAATAACAAATTAGTAAAATATCAACTAACTATTACCTTGGGTAACCAAATAAATAGCATATCACCCCTATCCCTAAATATCTCGGAGTTACTCTTGACGGAGTCAGTTAATGTCAATTAATTAGACGCCATCCCACCACAAGTTACCATATAACCCTAAGTTCTGATTAATTATATTATGTTTAACTTTTTATTTTTCTTCATTCTTTTATTTATATTTTATTAAGAAATCTATCAATTAAGTCTGTCATAATAATTTTATTGAGTTTTAACGTTTGTAAAATACTAAACCACAAAGCACCTACCAAGATAGATACTTAAATTAAAATGAGAAATTCGGAACAAAAAAAAAAAACGAAGGGCTGCATTTTACAAAAAGGTAAATGTATCAAGGATAAAATTACAGAATAAATTACTGGAAAAATTGATCCAAAGTCTGTAAAAATGAGAAGGAAAACGTTTTGTATTGCGTTTAAACGCTCGGACCCAACTATAGTGTAGGCATTACATATTTCCCGGTAACTACAGTAGCGAAGTACGTCCGGCTTTTGTTTCTTAAACCTATTAAACGTAGTTTCGTAGTAGGCATACAAATAATTAATACACTATTATTGCACCTAAAATACTTAGACCATAACCTTATAGTTATATATATATATAGTACTGCTGGTTTTTTGGAATTGGACAAGATGGAATACACGCTGTAATAATAATTATTGTTCGTTAATCCTATTCATATTACGCGTGCAAGTATATTTGTATATATTAACTGCGTTTGTTATCGCGATGAGTGCACACCTAAACACATAAAATCGGTTATGAGATTTATTTCGCATTATGCCGTTATTTCGAAAACATTTTTCACGCTACACTCGTTCGCGACACAACCCGACAGTATAATATTATAATTTGTCCATTTTACCTAAATATAGAGACGAACTCGATATTATATTTTGTTACGGACGTCGCCTCAAATGTATGTAGCATAAAGTATAGGATATACTGCAGCACAATAATAGGTAATTTACCCCAACGCGAAGGGCTATGGTAAGAATTGTAGATTTGAATATTCGGAATATCAATATAACACGGGCTTTAATAGCCGATCGAACACCTATGCGCGCATTTAGCAAGACCCGGATATTAGGGACCGAATGCGTGAGGTTATCGTCCGGTTATTTAACAGTATGTTATTATCGAAAAGCGTGGACTAAGTGTATCTAGCTGGGGGGGGGGTCCAAGGTATATATGCCGATATATACCTAACCTAACCTTCTGTCTGTGAACAACTTTTCTACTAGAAACCTTAGTCCGATTTTCAAGTGTAACACTTTTTCTCAGAGGAAATCTGACTTGGGCGGTACTTTAAGAAGGTTATTTTCAAATCGAAAATATGACGGCCTTTTAAAACATGTAAAACCGAATTCCGCTCAGAATAGTTTTTCGTTAGCAATGATTCATCGTTAAATATAAATATATTTAACATTTTTTTCTCTACCTTACCAATTTCTTACCTAAAATTGTGGCCCATCCATCGTGCGAGATATCCGTTTGTTTTATATTTTTGTAAGCATTACAATCTAACTAACCAGTGAACGCGTGTTTGTCTTAGTAAAATATTTTTGGTCGTGTGTCTGGTATTTTTAAATTAATTTTTTACTCAATTATACCAATATAATGAATACATCTATACAATTTTTTAGACATTGGACAACCTTTCGAAAACATTGAGAGCCATGTGTTTAAGATAGGTTGGAGTCAAAATTCCATTTGAACACACAATAACTGTAAACTACTGTATGTTTAACTTTTACAAAAAAAAAAAAAACCCACTCAGCCAATAGTAAATAAAAATTCAACACTCGGATCGTGATATAATTCGTAGAAGTATGAGAAAATAAGAGGATAATAGCTATCATAATTATTGTTTTACTGCTACATAGAGACGATTATAAAAGAACAAATTTCTTGGTATTAGAGTCCGATAAGGAATTATGTTATATGAACTTCGATGATTGAAAATTACACAGTTGAATCGCGTAAGGTTATACACGAATAAATTAATGGTGTAAATTCGGATAAAACAAAAGTTTTAACGTGCATCCAATAACTTAAAATCAACGTAAATATCTATTTGGTAAATCTAAAATCAAACTACGGGGTAAGTTACACATTTTTTAATATTTATGTAGTTCTATAACGTAGTACTGAAAAAGTACGCAATATATAATAAAGTATAGTATTAGCCAATTTTAAACAGTAGTCATCAAGAAAAAAAAATGAATCCCAAAGATAAGAACTAAACGAGACATTTATTAAACCATTCGTGTGGACTGTTGTTTTGTATGGCCGTGAGCCATGGATTATTGATGTAGTGGAATGAATGTCCATTGAAGCGTTTAAATCATTGTATTGAAAACGAACGGAACATGACGGAAACTGGACGGACAAAGTAACGGAAAATGTTTATAAACCTAAGTCCGCGGTAAACAAATCCCATGTGGAAAAATGACCGCTCGGAAGTCAAAAAAAAAAAAAAAAAAAAAAAAAAAAAATGGGAAGACATCATTGAAAGTGAAGGCGGAATCGTTAGGCGGAGGCTCGAATCGTAAAGAAAAATCAACGGTCAGGGAAGGATGGAGTGTCGGATGTCAAATGCGATGGTGCCGAGAGGCCCGTGAAGAAGAAGATGTATCGATAACATTACGCAATTCGATATCGTTTTCAAACAATTATCGTAATAACATTACACGTTTATATACATATATGCATCGTGTTATATTAATTTAAAAAATATCGCGACACATGTATAACACGCGGGTGATTTACCCGTACACTACCGCGTTGACGTCTACCGTATGGCCGAGGAATCGCGTTCGTTTTACCTAGAACGTCGGTTCTCGACGAAAACGTAATAAATTCGCGTGTGATTCGAACGCAATACATTATTGTGCGCGCGCATGTTTAAACGCCGGGTACGGGCACATACCGCACATGCATAGTCGCGGGCTGTGCATTGATTTCATGTTATGACCGTGGGCGGTAAATTTCCGTGCATCACGACAGTGCGCGGTAATTACGCAGTTTTGTTATTTGTTTTTGTTTTGTTTCGTTTTGACTTCCGATTAATTTCCGTGCGCCACTGTCGTTCGTCCGCGCCGTGCCGCCGTCCCGGTATAAACGTGCACGGGCGACGGCCGAAACACTTATATTGTACTCGGCGTAATGATGTAATAGCGCCGGGCGAATGCGTTCGTTAGTCACCGCAATTATAAAACTGCGCGGATTATCGGAAATAATTGAAAAAGTTTAGCGCAGAGCGTGCGGACACAGGTAGGTAGGTACTTACGGCCATCAGCAGCTGGTTGATTTCCTGGTAGACGGCGAAACACGACAGGAACGGAGCGATTACCACGATGATTGACACGAATATCAACACGTACAATCCCAAATAAACTTGCCAAATTTTCAGAGCGTCGATCCATTCTTGGAGCACCGTGTCCAGCCTAGTGTACACCACGTAGCCCAATAAAAATAATCCCATTATCTGTAAAGGAAAAAAATAAATAAAAATAGAAATTATAATAAATCTTAAATACGAGTAACTCCGTAGTAAATTATTGATATTATGATATTTTATCAGACCTGGGCGCCGATAAAAAAATCACTTTTTTGACGATTCAAATGCGATATTATTCAAACGTGTCTGTGTTCTGTATATTATTGTGTACCTATACTCACGTAATATTTTAATTTAAAATACTCCGAATATTTTTGAAGAATCGTAACAAAAGCTATAATTATAAGCGCTACATTATTACTGTACACTCCTGTTTTACAGTTTAAATTCCTTTTAATTTATTTTAAGCCTCAAAAATATTTGCGTTGAAATGAATTGCCTAATATAAGTAGTCAATTTTAATGTGATTTAATAATAATTCATTTACAGTAGACCGAAAGGAATACTTAAAAAAAAATGATAATTAAAATATTAAAATTAATAATGAATATTCAAATTTATTCCAAACGTATTTTTATTAATTAGATTTCTTAAAGACGTCTTTAGCAACATCGATTGATTTGGGTAGAAAAAACAATGAAAAAATCGTTAATATATTGCTGCATGAATATACGGACTTCCGTGTTTTTAATACGTCCACGGACGGTCGTGTTTCTAAAGGAGACATGAACGTATGATATAAAAAAAAAAAATCAACTATTAATCGCAATATTTATTATAAATTGTATAATTATTTTTCATACTAAGGGCGAAAAAAAAAGACCTCGAAAATCGGGCAATAAAGTGTCCCATGTGTACGCTTGAATCCGAAATCTTAGTCGTCGAAAAATCCACCTGAAATTTATTTAAAGCAGATAGGAAATGGAGAATGTCAACCTATAGGTCTTAACCTGATAATATTCCATGGAAAACGATGTCTTGAGTGAAAAACTAAAACCTATTAGTTGGTCGTCGAAAAGCTGCCACCAAAACTACAAAAGTGCAAGAAAAAAAAAAAAAACGAAACAATTGATTTACTATACAAAATATAGAAAACGGAATCGAACGCGAAACATCTTGATTGAGAGGCATTTTGCCAGTCTATTAAAACACTATACGATTCAATGTCAAGGTGTATGATTCGCACATAAACACGGTCGTTTGTTCGCGCATTTTAAACACGACTGTCCGTGCGTCTAGACACAGCGTAAATAAACTACGCCATTAGTAAAACTTTTGCGCAGGTGTTCCACTCCAATCTCATTTCAATAGTGTTTTCCGAAAATTCGAAATTCCCGTTACTAATGAAACCGCGGCATTTGTATTTTATCCGCCGTTGATGTTTCGCGAATTTATCTCTTAAACGAGGGATTCCACTTAGGAAATAAGTTTTCACTACCATCGACTTAGTGATTTACGTTTATAAATACGGCCGGAAACCGTCTTTCGTTTAATCTTCGGGGTTCATATTACGACCACTCGAGCACCAACGAGAATGTGTAAATCAAAAGTTTTCGCTCACACTACACATTAATAATATCCGTGTTGTATTATAAAACGAAACGAAACGATCCTATATAATATTATGACGTACAAAGTCGAATGATTGTTTGAACGCTCCGGAACCGTTCGTGGTCGTGTTAAGTAAATGCATGGCTAAAATTCATCGAAATTTAATTTCCTCAAAGGATGTATTTCTCCCCCTCGAAACGATTTAACGGCAATTTGTTTGCCGTTAGAGTGCTAATTATTTGTAGTTTTCAGCAAACGCATTCAGGATTTTCACGGTGTTAAATTTCGGGTTATACCCAACTGCGGATATTCGGTTTTGTTTTCGATAAATTTCTTTAGCGTGTTATTTACACGCTTAACTTTTATTTAAAAGTACCTACACTACTTGCTAGTCGAATTCTATCGCCGACCGAATATTTTATACACATGGTGCATACTTTTGCTTAATATTAATATTGCATAGTTCAATATGCTTTTCAAAATCGCATTGAAATCAGTTGTTAAAGGACTGTATGATAGTGACGTAGAAATTAAACTAAAGGATAAAAAGATTAATTAAAAAGCATACGTAGATGATAATTGGTAAGACAGTGGAAGCGATTACGACTTTAGTAGAATTATTTATAGAGAGAAGCAGACCGATGGGATTCATAGTGAACGAAGAAGAAATGACATAAATGCTATTATCGGGCTTTATCTATATTAACTATTTTAGCGGTGCACAAAATGTTAATCAAAAGAGTAAATACAATTAAATACCCCTGGATAGAATTCATTGTAAATGAATATAATCATAGAAAAATGAAAAAAATAAATGAATGCAGCTAACCGATTTTTCCCCGTCCATAAAACTTGTTTTTAATTCAAAACTCGTCTCACTAAAAACAAAAACTTTATTCTACATGGATAATACGTCTAATTGTTTTACATGTAAGTGAAACGTGGACAACTGCAAAAAAGCAGCTGTACAAAAAGTTTCAGTATTCTTCTGATATATTTTTGACCCGAAAAAATCCTGTAGGAACAACAGACCAATTTGAATCCTGCTAAATCGTTCGGTTAAGCTGACATAATAGCAACGTTCAATGGTAAACGCATTAGCTGGGCAAGGCACGGGGACAATAGAGAGCACGAGATCAGACAAATCAAGAGTTGACAAAATCGATTCTCGATGGAAAGAGGCCATCTGGGAAGACCAAGACTGAGATGAGTGGACAGAGTTAAGAGTGACCTGCAAATACTACGAGTAATAAACGGCGAAGAATTAGTAAAAAATAACCGACAACAGAAAAGCGCGGAAAGGTGTGGTGTTTGCGTCAAAGAGCCAAAATGGCCTGTACTAAACCAGGAAAAACATAATATTATAATATAAATATTGGTTTTCAAAAAAAAAACCGATTAAACGCTACAATATTACATATTATATGGTATAGAAATAGTAAAAATAATGTCGGCACGGGTGGTCGATGTGTTATATTTTAGAAAACGACGGCGGTGAGCATTTTTTCTACAATCGACCACGGTTGGCCTTTAAAAATATTTATCAACGACAGTGGCGGTTTTTTTTTTTTTTTGTAAGCCTTTGTGTTTTTTTTTCTCCGTTTGTTTATTGTTGCTCGCCAAAGCATTTTTGATACGCCCATTATATAGTGACGACGCGGCGACGTAGCCGATTTCGACGGACATGACGTACGGACGTATGGACGGAGATTAAAGCAAAAAACTAAAATAACATAACCAATACAAGTGAACCGTGATAGATTTTATGTAGTCGTGTGCGTCATTATTTGGACAAAATAAAAAAAAAAAAAATGAATTGCACACACGAATTTCGCCGTTTTTTTAGCCGATAATATTATTGTATTATACCGACACAGTGACACAGGTACATAATAGGTATGTAAAATAGATTTTAATCATGAAAAACGTTTGGATTTACAAAAATGAAATACAAACATATTATACTATATACAGATGTAGGTAAACATTGCATTCAATTCATGAGAACGGTAGCTAAATTTATGACACTGCAGAATCCGTATTTATTTGTATACTACAAATATAATATGGACCAAAACAAACAAACGGCGTGGCGATGAGTGTGCGATACATAATTTTCAAATGTATAATTATTTTAGTTCGCGATGTGTAAACAAAACAGACTATTTTTTAACGAATTAATAATGCGACAATGAATGTTCGTTTTTTATCATCGTTTTTTTTTTTTTATTTTTAATAAAAGTCCGGTTTGAGCAATTGACGTGTATCATGGTTTTAAATAGTACCACATGAAACAGCAATGTATCGAACGTTTTACATTTTTAAGGAAAAATTTAGAAACGAACCTTTTTCTTATTAAAAAAAAAAAATAATAATAATAAACTTTGTTGTTTACGAAAATAGAGTAATTTATACATTATTCGTTCCGAACATGACCGTTTCAAATGTCACATTTAAAATTAAAAATTTACCAAGTTTCGTTTAGGTATCCAAGTTTTTCTTTAAAATATCAATTTTTTCCGGTCCAAATACTACCGTTTAATGTGGTGACGTAGAAAATAATGCGTCAAAAGCATCATAATTTATATAGCTAACGTGTCATAATAAGTAACTATGTAATAATAGATTCTCCTCATAAATTGTTATTATGGAATACTTTATAAGCGTACGATTTTCACATTTTAACGAAATTTTTATAAATTGCCAACATTTTGCGCACTACTTATCGATTTGGTAACATTATTACGTTTTTAATTACAATTATTCTATACCTCTTTATTTATGTCTAAATAAAGCATAAGTCCAAGAAAAAAAAATAAAATAACAAAAAGAAGTGACCGAAATGCAAAATATAGAACAAAAGTATTTGTTCTTCTTTTTTTTTTAGATTTGTATAACTATCAAATTTCTTCGGTATATCAACAGTATGTACATTGTTCGTCTACATACAGTGTACAATTTCAATCCTATTATATGTGTAAGCTTATAAATTTTCTAAAAGGACTGAAACGATTGCATTTTAACTAAAAAATATACCATAAATGGCACTTTAAACTAAATCATTTCAAACGTATATTAATCACAACCGCACGAGTGAATATAGTTCTCCCGAATACCGATGGGAGGCGTCTGGAATCCCACTCCGATTTACAATGATAGTAATTTTTTCCAAAAGAAATCATACTGGGAAGGTACTTTAGAGAAGTCATTTTTTGATTTTTCCAGAATTTTCATCAACAAATGTGAAAAACTGAAAAAAAAAACGGAGGAAAAACGTGAAAATCGGTACATTAAACAAATGTTAGAAAATATATGCCTTTTTAATTATTTTACCATAATATAGCATATATATTGTTGCCAAAGCATCATTATTGACTGAACTCCACTCAGAATCGTTTTTTCGTTAGCAATGATTTATCATTGGTACAGGTGTATTAAATTACCCGAACCCATTATTCAATAACACCTTTTTTAAGACTGAAAGTATGCATGTACACGATAAAAACTCATATTTGAACTGTAGAATATCAAATGCTGATATTTTAGATAAAAAAAAAAAAATCAGATATTTCTACCTAGTGTATACATACATTCTGTCTTTTACTGTTTAGATACATGTTCAACATGTATAGATAATGGTATCCATACAACATTTAGGTTTCCTTTAATTGGAAAAAATGAAAATAGAGGTTATAAATATTAGAATAAAAAAGAACGGACATACTTCCCGCATGGGTGCAGTCACTGTTGTAGGTAAGAAGATGCAACAATGAACCATTGCTTACGAAAAACGATTCTGAGCTGAGTTAAGTTTTTTAATGTTGCTTTGTCAACAATACAATATATACTATTATGTCATATTATGCTAAAATGATTAAAACAATGTACTTTTCCTTGATAAAAATACATTTTTTAAAAAAGATTAAAATTATAAAAATTTAATAATAACAAAAAATAAATAAAAAAAGGTTGTCAATGACATTCTTATTTTTAATCATTCAATTTTTTTTAACCTAAGGACCGAGGTTTTCCTTAATATCTCAAATATTAATGAGAATTTAAGATATCTTGCTGTAAAAGTTCAAGAGTAGTATCTTTTCTGAAAGGAAATTTTCCTGGGGTGGTATTTAACCGGGTTTTTTTTTTTGATTTTCCAAAGAGTTTTTCCAGGAAGAAACCGAAAAAAGAGGTTTGAAGATTTAAGAAAATAATGTTTTTATAATTTTAAGTTTAATTTGTTTATTCTAATTCAGTTAAAAATTTTCATAAAGACTTAAAATTTGGACAGAAACTATATATTTGCCATTTATAGACTTTTTAAAATTTTTAAAACATTTAGGCATTTTTGAGCTATTTATAGACATTTATTAAACCAAACAAAAATGTTTGAAAATTTAACAGAAGGTTTATTATAAGTTGTAGGTACTTCATGATTAAAAAGAAAATGTTGAGTTTATTATAAATGTTGAGTCATTTTTTTTTTTTTTTAAATAATTTTAATATAAAACATCGACGAAAAGCGTATAATATTAGATGATTTTTTAATCAAACTTCAGTCAGAATCGTTTTGTTTAACATTGATTAGTCGTTGTGCACAGATATACGTGAGTATTAGTTAACAATAAAAACCCTTCTCTACTTCTTACCTACAGCAGTGGCTGCGCCCACGACCTAAGTATGTCCGTTTTTTTTTAGTCATAAGTTGTACGTAACAGATCTATTATACATTTAAGTGGTACGCGGAAAAAAAAAAGGTTTGAGAACCTCTGGCTTAATTTGTTAGACACATTAACAAATTGTGCGTCATAATAATACGCTTATAAGTTTTAGTCATTTACAGGACTTTTTCATCGAAAACTCAGCCAATATCCCTCAAAAATTAAGTCCTAAACAAGTAAATACTTAGTAGGTGTACATTATCAATATTAATCAAAATTAATGGGTGTTAGACTCCTCAAAATAATTATACTATTTGTGCCTATGCTCAGAATCGGATTACCCGAATTACCGAATTAAAAAATGCAATGTTTTTATTTATTTCAAACTTGAATTGTCTTTTTCACATTAACCAGCGATATTTGTCCAAAAATGTTAATTTTTTAAAAGTCACTTTAGAGACGGCCCCCGCCCGAGTGATCATTGAATTGTTTTTACATTGGGGTGGCCGATTAAAAAATATATATATATATATTATGACTAACAAATGAAACTAATTTTTTTCTTCTCAACAACAATGAAATACGACATTTAATCGAGTGGAATAAAAAAAAAAAAAAAAATAAAACCCTTCAGATGTAACACATTATTCATTAAGTGGTGCACGACTATCGTATTACACGAAACCTGAGATTAAAGCTTCTCAACAACCGCGATGACAACAACTATGTCATACTCGGTATCAATTATAACAGTAGGTACCTAATGTATATTTATTTTATAATTTTTTTTTTTTTTTTTGTTAGCTTGACGGAACAAATTCATTAAAACTTTTGGATTTTAATCATTTCAGATCCAAGTATAAACTTTATTTTTGTTTTTGTTTTTTTTTAACAAACCAACCCAATGGTAGAAGGACAAATGCGAATTAAAGTTTTTTTCCTCTTTGTCCAACTAATTCGGTTAGACGCCAAACATTTACACGAAACACGTTTCATTTACATAATATACAATCATTATAATAATTATAGTATAAGTACTCGCTTTAAACTCGAGAATTTCATTTTTATTAGCTATTATTTTTTTTTTTAAAAATAAAAAAGGAAAGAAAAAATACAATAAAATATTTTCATTAGTTATTGATTTTAAACTTGTTTTCACAATCGAATCTTACTATATGTATATATATATTTAATTTTTAACCGACATTTTGCAATCTAAATACTCTAAAATACTATAAAATAATATATACCATATTATACATTATACAATATTATTCATATTTTTCATTTTTGACCGTTGTAGATGGAAATTATACTTTTAAATTATTACAACTCAAAAACTCCATCTATTCGGCAACTTCGAATAGCCCAACAATTATAACCACCGTTAAAAGCTTCTCGTTGTTTATAAAAGTTTTTCTTTAAAAGCTCTTTTTTTCATTTTCGTTTCTTTTTTTTTTAACCGCTACGAAACATTTCAATTTAATGGACTAGTCTTTTAGGAAAACAATGTATTTATTTTTGTACT